GTGGTGACCGGAGTCCATAAACATCTAAAACGTAAATGCTGCTACCCACCTTAAAACATGAGTTCTAAGGTCTCAGTTTTTACAGGACAACTACTGCTCCAGCCTTCAAACCAAGACACATTACCGGTTAGCGATAGAAATTTCAATAAATAATAGTTAAAAAACTAACAAAATAAGGTTTTATAGAAAATCCAACTAAAAAATAGAAAATAAATTTTAATAAATTTGAATTAAAAATAGTGTAAGAAAAATGATTTTATTGTAAAAAAGCGTGGGGTGCTTTTCAGGATATTATCAAAATAGCCCTTCTATTCATATCTGTTCATAAAATATTTATAACTACTGATACCATGATATTTTTTAGTTGGATTTTCTATAAAAGCGTGTTTTGTTAGTTTTTTTAAACTAATATTTATTTTTCATATTTTAGTTGAATTTTTTCAATATTTTTTTTCAATACTTTTTTAATATTGAATTATCATCGGTCCTTAATGAGTATACCAAATTTCGAGTTAATCTGACGTTTTGAAGGGTATCAAAATCATGTTCAAAGATTCCGTTACATACTAACATACATACGTCCGAAGCTAATAAAAACGTATTAAAAAGGGATGGGAATTTTCAAAACTTAGTTTTAGAGTTGGGACGCAATCGATGAGTACAATATTAAAACGTGCTTACCTATTCTACCTATGCGCTGGTAGTCTAAGAGGCTATTTCAGCTACGTCCGGACGGGTAGGTGGGCTCACGGACACAACCTGAGAGAATTTACTAACACTAGCCCTAGCAAGAGCAGTGCTTCGCAGAATCTACCACCGGATCGGAATCGCGACCCACTAGACGATTGAGATAGTAATATGATCCGGCGAGAAACTCAGTGCGTCAGAGCATAGTTACCGTAAACATGTTAAAAAACATAACGGGACAGCTGTCGAACGGTATTCTAATTTATTTATTTATTTATTACCCTCCATATTGGTATACAAAAGCTTGTTAGTTTTGTGAAAGGGCCCAAACCTCTAATCATATTGTAATTAACGGTCGTTTTAACGCCAATTCTCTGAGTTTTTTTTTTGTTTAATTTTTAATGGCCCCGACATATTTCGGATACTCGACGTTTTGCCGCAGAGCCGTTCGTCAGTGGCACGGAGAACGCGTGTCTAATTATAAGAATGGCTTTGAGTAGATAGATTATAGAGCAGAATATGTATTACTCTTTGTTATTACGCAGAGAAACTATTAAGACAGTCCGTTGGTTTAAGTTTAATTAACTGTGGGTTTTGTTTCTAATTCTTGCCGGCGAGGCTTAATTCGTTTTAGTAAAAGTCGACGCTTTAACGACACGAGGAAATTACGCTGATGACGTCATCTGACTGTGTTAACAGTCAGATGACGTCATCAGCGTAATTTGACGGTAACCCGTCTGCAGAAAAATGTCACTATAGTGGTTTACAAAAACCTTAATATTTAATATAAAAAATATAAAATTTCCTTGTTTTTGATGAATTATTTAAGTTATATCACTTGTATAATATACAACAGATCATTTCGAAACAATTGTTAACATTCTTGTACAATTAACTGTTACTGTTCTGAATAGGGTCCAAATATTTATTCATAATAGGTGAGCTCACGGGGCTCAACCTCTAATAATTTGATAACATTACCTTTAGTAAGAGCGTTGAATCTATCGCTCTGGCGATGAAGCGGAAGATCCCTCGAGAAACTCAATGGCTTACTTTTTCATGTCAGATATGAATTACTGAAAAAGCCCCATTCGCTGGAGTGTTCAAGTAAAAAACCTTATCAAAACCCCACTTAACGAGTGCATGCGACTAGCCATAGTTCGCGAATTATGGAGAACAGTTGTCAATAAACAAGGAATCCACATGACCACGGCTACTTTGCCACGAATAACCGATTATGATGATGATAATGACGAATTTTTAACAACAACATTGAACTCATTTTGTAATTGATTGTAAATAATAAATCAGAATAAGAAAAAAAAACATTTATGAAAACACGTTAATGGATCTGTGTGTTTCTATAGTGTACGTCAAAATGTCAGACGACTTAATTCGTCATCTTCGCCCCTAAATATGGGAATTTACATTTTATTACTGTATTCATAGAGTAGATATTTCAATGTATATTGACAAGAACAAATATTTGAAGATGTTTTTGTTTCTCCTCTATATAATTAGGCAGCAGACACCTTAGTGTGATTACTGCGAGGCGCCTAAAGCAGTTACCTCGACTTCTCCACAGATTTATAACTAAAAAGAACAAAAGGAGTTTTTCTGCATAATTTTTTTTATCTGTGGTTTATGAGCACATAAAAAAAAAACGCATTAGATATCGTACGTTATGGCGTTTTGTTCCTGATACATTTTAATTTTCTTTTTATTACATTCCGTGTACATATTTTATAGTTAACTCAATTTAAAATTTCTCGATTAAGTTTATTTAATTTTGAATGCATGCAATAGCAATTAAGATATAATTAAAATTAGTACTGCCCGTATAATTTTACTGTCACACAGAAATTATTATGAAAACTTAAAACAGACCCGATGGATATAGAAATAAATGTTTTTTTTTTGTATTGCTTGTATTGGTGGACGAGCTCACAGCCCACCTGGTGTTAAGTGGTTACTGGAGCCCATAGACATCTACAACGTAAGTGCGCCACCCACCTTGAGATATAACTTTTAAGGTCTCATGTAGTATAGTTACAACGGCTGCCCCACCCTTCAAACCGAAAAGCATTATTGCTTCACGGCAGAGATAGGCGGAGTGGTGGTACCCACCCGTGCGGACTCACAAGTGGTCCTATCACCAGTAATTACGCAAATTATAATTTTGCGGGTTTGATTTTTATTACACGATGTTATTCCTTCACCGTGGAAGTCAATCGTGAACATTTGTTAAGTACGTATTTCATTACAAAAATTGGTACCCGCCTGCCGTATTCGAACACTGGTGCATCGCTAAATATAAATGCACCGGACGTCTTATCTTTTAGGCCACGACGACTTCAAAACTTTAGTTTAAAGGATTATTTAATGCTTCATTTTTGCTAGTTGCAGACAATATGACATCTATTAAAAAAAACTTTTATATCGCATCGATTTTATATTGCATCGATTTGTAAAACTTATCATAGACAAGGACCCGAATTCCTTTTACGTCTAAATCGTTCGTGTTTATTGTGAGTATATATAAAAAAAATAATGAATTATTTATTAAGGATAAAGTAATGGTACTGTTTATTAACCTAATAAGGGTACTTACTATTTGTGATTTGTGGCAATTTAATTAATACCTTGACTACATAAATGGATGTGTTACTTGTCTTAATGCGATATATGCGTTGTGAAGATTGAGGACAATAGTATTTTCATCGCAAAACTAACATTTTTTTTTAATTGAACGTCATGAAATATTATGATACAATAATGAATCGTCCTAAAGATATTTTCAAGATAAGTTTACATGTTTATGTTTTGAAGAACAACTTTCGGACTGTCGATCTAGAGCGTTTACTTTGTTGATCCTTTAGACGCATTTTGATAACTGGCAATAAATTTCAAGAAGCGCACCAAAATTGTAACTTTTTTTTATTGCCCTTTTAGGCAGACGAGCAAACGGCCGACCTGATGGTGAGTGGTTACCGTCGCCCATGGACTTCAGCAATGCCAGGGGCAGAGCCAAGCCGCTGTCTACCGTACTTGTACGTACTGTACTTGTAGTAAAAAACCTATTAGACAACACAATGCAAGGAGGTAAGGAGAGTAAAACGTCTATTATCCGATCGCGACGGGGCAACGCAGACTGCAAAGCCGCCGTCGCCATAAAGCATGTCGGATCCCCCGGATTCACTTTCGGTGCTTATAGATCTCTAAAGCACCGGTCACCGTCCTCGTCGATTACGACGAAGAGTTCGATGAGTGAACTAACCCATAGACACAGACAGCCACTGAGTTTCTCGCCGTGTCTTCTCAGTGGGTCGCGATTCCGATCCGGTGGTAGACTCTGCGAAGAACTGCTCTAACTAGGGCTAGTGTTAGCAATTTTTTTATTGCTTAGGTGGGTTATTTATTGCTTAGAGCTCACAGCCTATCCGGTGTCAAGCGGCTATCGGAGCCCATAGACATCTACAACGTAAATGCGCCACCCACCTTGAGATATAAGTTCTAAGGTCTCAGTATAGTTACAACGGCTGCCCCAGCCTTCAAACCGAAACGGATTACTGCTTCACGGCAGAAACTAGCAGAGTGGTGGTACCTACCCGGGCGGACTCACAAGAGGTCGTACCACCAGTAAATAATTCTCTCAGGTTGAGCCTGTGAGCTCACCTACCCATCCGAGTGTAGCTGGAATAGTCTCTTACACTACCAGCAAATAGGTAGGGAAAAATAAAACGTTCGCAACAAACATGATATTAATAAACTCTTTGTTTTGAACTAAGACCATTAAACTAAATACTCATTCGTAGATTTCGAAATACGAAAAAAAAAAAAAAACTAACATTCGAACAGTCGTTATCCACTAAACAGAAAATTACACGGATGAATAAAGTTACGTTTACACGCACTCCGGAGGTAGTAGGCAGCGACGTAAAAAACGAACAGCCATAATAGATCCGACCCGATCATAAATAATAGAATCATTAACATCTGCCACGATGATTTGGATCATCAGTTTTTTTCTTTTGTCCGTTCTCCAAAAACAACGATGCTTAACTACGTTATACGGGCGTGGTGGATAAGTATTAACGGTTGAATTTTATCTTTTTCAAACATTCATTGACGGCGATTTCAATTAGACTGTTGTGTTTTTTATTCGTTTTTTAAACGCAAAATAATAGCAGCGTGGTTTTTTTTTTAAGTTTCATTTCATTTCATGTAGATACTTTTTGTTGAAGGCTACTAGAACATCTACAGTATATTTTGAAGAAGAAAAAAAAAAACAAATAAAACAAAATTCTACTAACCAAATGATCTGAGTGGGGGTCTCTGGGCGCACTAGGTGCTGGATTGGGCCACAGCAACTTTGACAACATCCGTTGGCTTTGGCTATAGATGAGCTCCTACGAAGGAGAAAAATTTAACTTTAGTACGCTATGAATCAAGGCGGAAAATGCCTGAACAGCTTGTCAATTAAGGTCTATAAAATAACTAGCACGTCATATTATTTGGAATTGTTATTAATAATAACAGTTATTAAAAACCTGCGCCTTCGCCTCCGGCTTATTAGAAGATAGTTATGTCACATTCGCTGTCAACTTTTGGTCAAATAATACAAGGTATATTTTTATGTTGCATGTGCTAAACCAAAATTATTAATAATAAAAATTACAGTTTATTTAAATTTTCAATTCGGATGGTTTCGTTCAATACGTTTAAAATTCTGATAAAAAACTTTTTTTTTTCCAAAGTCGATAAACAGGTTCCAGCATCCAGTTCCAGAATGCCTAGAATAAGCAAACTTAATATACAAAATCTCCCCAAATGTTGACCTCCGCTGAGCTATAAAAAAGCATAACGAGACGATAATGATAGGTTGGGCAGTGTTCTCGCCTGCAAAACAAACAGTGTACATTCACCAAAAGAAAAACGTACAACTAAAATACGAGACACGACCGTATAATTTGGAGTTAAGACGTTTTTTGATTTACGACGAACATTATTGGGACTTTTGTCTTTTTAGTAACAACGTGTAGAATTACAATGAACGAACAAATGATATTGTAACTTTGTTATTTCTAATACACAATTAGTTTTAGTTTTATTCGCATGATTCTGTTTGTTTATGATTTTTTTATGAAGTTTTTTTTTCTCTATTTGCTGGTAGACTGGTAGACTGGTAGACTAAGAGGCTATTTCAGTTTCGTGCGGACGGCTTTTTTTGCTATACATTTATAGACGTTCAAATTACTATAATCATCTTCATTACATTTCATTTTACTCCATATCATATCATTTTTCATAAACATAAGAATATAAATTAAAATGACCTAAAGGTCTTAGTTACCAGGTCATAAAATCCCTTAGTAATTCAAATTACAGAGGAGTTTTTTTTTTAAATTAGAATCACGATCGAGCATAGTCAAGGCGTAAGCACTTTTAAGCCTCATTTGAAGAAAACTTGTATTAACGCTGCGAAACAATTTTAGTATTTGAGGTGTGGGAAAATGGATATCAGAATGCTTTACCTTATACCCGGAGTTATTTAAAAAATATATCATTAAAATTTGAGTAAGCCTTTGTGATTTTGCTGAACGAATTATAGAAGATTAGAACAACTATATTAAATAAAAGGTTCAGTAACCAATGGCCGTAAACAAAGGGATGCTCTATATAAGTACAGGTACAAGTAAATAGAATCTCTTTTTCGAAATTCGTAATAAAAAAACAAAAAAAAAACATGTTTTTGACGTAACTCTTTTAAGAAATGGTCAAGTATTCACAAGCAAACTATTTTTATTGGCCGATATCTGGACAGTCTACGTACGCATCTACAGCACTTACAGCGCGTGTACCAGCTAATTAAAAGGTGTTTATGTGTGTTTTATACACATCGGTTGTCTATAGGGCGTCTTGTGAGCTCGCAAGGGAAGGTCACCACCCGCTCTGTCTGCGGCTAAATCGAAGTACCTTCCGATTTTAAGGGTGGGATAGCCGACTTCCTGTCTCAAGCCAGTTGGCAGCATTCCAATTAATAACCACTTAACACTAGACGGATTGCGAACTACTCCACCGATATATCGTCTTTTCGCATTGAAAGTGTCCAATTTCCAAAAATATTCGATATGCGTAATCATTTGGTATCACCAGTATTTTTCTCATAAATACTGTCAAAAGAGCGTAGTTTAGTTTTTTTTTTTAGTTTACCTATGTTTTTACTACTATTAACAAAATTAATACATAATTTTATCTTACTTTAAAAGACAAATAATGTATGTGGTAAAAAAAAAAAAATGTTGTAAATATGATTACACCTTTAAAACACTCTCCTGTAAAATTAGTAAGTTTTGAGATTATACAGTTTTAATGCGAGAAGGCGATATATGCGATAGAATAAATGGAACTTTCAATATCGCTGCAATATCAATTTTTACGTTAAGTGCTTAATGACATTCGAGATTAAATAAATTCCATTACAAACAAATGAAATTTTTGACATTACTCTATGAAGCTATATCTGTGCGGTTTTAATTGTGAAGCGACAAAACCGCGGGATCTAATCGAGCTTAATTCAGAAACGCCGTGGTGCACACTGAAATAAGTGGCGCTTCTGACACTCTGAAAATAACGCTCTGCTTAAAACAAAAGCAGGCAAGCCTCGAGGAGAGCACCTTAGGTTACGCAAGTTCAAAACGTTGAGAACTTAATCAGACGCCGATCAAAGCGGGACTGTATCGAGCCTGTAATTAGCGTCTACTTGTGGGAATGTGAATAGACACAGCCCACTGAGTTTCTCCCCGGATCTTCTCAGTGGGTCGCGTTTCCGATCCGATGGTAGATTCTGCGAAGCACTGCTCTTGCTAGGGTCTGTGTTAGCACCACTCCGGTTTGAGCCCCGTGAGCTCACTTATTAGTTAAGTTTACGCTGAAATAGCCTCTCAAGGCTATCAGCTTAGGTAGGAAAAAAAAAGTGAATATAATTTGGCACCGCACTTGATGTCCACAGAACGCACTGGACAGTCCTCGTCAAAATACCGTTTTTTTTTATTGCTTAGACGGGTGGATGAATTCACAGCCCGCCTGGTGTTAAGTGGTAACTGGAGCCCATAGACATTTACAACGTAAATGCGCCACCCACCTTGAGACATAAGTTCTAAGGTATAGTTACAGCGGCTGCCCCACCCTCCAAACCGAAATGCATTGCTGCTTCACGGTAGAAATAGGCAGTGTGGTGGTACCTACCCGTGCGGATTCACTAGAGGTCCTACCACCAGTAATAAAATTCTTTACCAGTCATCAATGTACCTTACATTGTAACGACAAAGTCTGGGAATGCGGACAATTAAACCGCGAAAACTATTTACACCTACGTCCGATCCTGACGTACATACGTGAGTGTACGGGAGTGATGTCCGGATCTGATCCGACGACAAGATATCGGCCAATGAAGGTGGACGGACTTATATGGAAAGACTGCGCGGTGGCGTCGATCCGCCGACACAGCGAAAGATCAACGCTAATTAAGCGCCATAAAACCGAATATCGTTACCTTTCACCGAGCCGGCCGCCGGCCGATACGTCGTCGACGTGAGAATAAATAAATAAATAAATAATAGTTTAAAAAAACTAACAAAATACTGGGTGCTTTTCAAGATATTTCCCTGTCTATTTCTGCCGTGAAGCAGTAATGCGTTTCGGTTTGAAGCGTGGGGCAGCCGTTGTAACTATACTGAGATCTTAGAACTTATATCTCAAGGTCGGTGGCGCATTTACGTTGTAGATGTCTATGGGCTCCAGTAACCACTTTACACCAGGTGGGCTGTGAGCTCGTTCATTCATTTAAGCAATAAAAAAAAAAAAGAATTTATCAAAATAACCCTTCTACTCATATCTGTTCATAAAATATTTATAACTACTGATACCATGCACCCCACGCTTTTTTTACAATAAAATCATTTTTTCTCACACTTTTTTTTAATTCAAATTTATTTTCTATTTTTTTAGTTAAATTTTGTATAAAAGCGTATTTTCTTAATTTTTTTAAACTATTATTTATTTTTAATTTTTTAGTTGAATTTAAATTTTTCAATTTTTTTTTAATATTTAATTATCATCGGTCCTTAATAATTATACCAAATTTCGAGTTAATCCGACGTTTTGAAGGGGGTCAAAATCATGTTCAAAGATTCCGTTACATACTAACGTACGTACGTCTGAAGCTAATAAAAGCGTATTAAAAAGAAGATGTAGGTATACCGCACGTACACGAGCCCACCGTACGGTAATAGATTAATGATACAGGTCGCGAGGTCCGTGTTTAAATGAGGATCCTCACTCGTGAACGAGGGTTAGCTGGAGTGCGCGTGAGGTGGCCACCCGTGCGCGAGCGAGAGGGACGATGGGCGCTCGCTGGAGGCGCCACCGACGCGCCACGGGGCGGCGCCCGCGTCGGCCCCACGCGCACGACACGTCTTATTGAGAAATTCCCGAGATGATGCATAATTCTCCTTTTGGTTTCCTGTGTAGTCATTTTACTCCCTGTTAACAATATTACCGATTCGGTGACCGGAGCGCAGACGCATATTTTAACGGAAACATCGCCGCAGTCGGCCTTTGTTTGCGCTTTGTTGGTTATTTTTTTGTGATTCTCGAAGCATCGCGAACGCATGTCGAAAGCAATTGTTGAGAATTTGGTGTATCGTTTAGCTGATTTAATAGAATTCCTAATCTTGACGATCTACTCAACATTTCATATCTCATAGTTACCATTTTAAAAAGTTCATTTATTCTGAAAATATGAAAAATTATCTTGAAACTCGCAAAGCTATTCCTTTTTTTAGTATACTTGTTTACTTCCTTTCAATTTACTAAGAATATTTTATTGTAATTTTACGATGAATTACCAACATCAAAAAAAAAGTTCGCTTATACCACACTCGGTTCAAACCGCCGAGCTGTTAAAACAGCAATCACGGTTATCACGACAGCTATGCTAATAAGACATGCTAATTCTCAAAACCAACAAGCGTCGAACAAAAAAATTGTGGGACGATCGCCCGAGGTCAAAAAAGGAGTAAAACTATAGCAGCAGACAGGCGCCAGGGCCAATTACGCGGGTCCACAGTGGCCCTAAGCCTGAGCAGAGATGGTCGCGCCACCCCGGGAATGCGGCTATAACTTTCTAGACTTTGATGACCTCAGAGAACCGAAAGCATATTGTGTTGTTCGGAGACAATGTGTATCATGTGATTTTTTTTTAAAATGTTTAACAGGAAAAAGCAGATTCCGTCGGCGTTTGTTTGTTGTTTGTTCCTTATGGCGGTTTTAAATAGCTGATTTTCAGTATACTCCGTATTACCTTTTTTTTTTATAACTATAATATTTCGTACCTGACATTTCATGA